TATTACTAAGTAGTATTACTACTACTTTTTTTAGTAATATTGCTCTATTGGTCTACTGTGTCAAACGCCTTTTGTAAGATCAATAAAAACTCCTTATACAAATTATTTATCATTAAAGGAAGTGCTAATGTTATTAATGAGATCTATAATAACATGCTCCGTTGAATGTTGCATTTGAAATCCGTACTGATTTTCACTTAAAATTTTGTGTTCTATTAAATATTTATACAGTCTGTTGTAAATAATTCTTTCAAGGAGTTTAGAAAATAAAGGGAGAATTGAGATTGGTCTATAATTTCTTATTGCAGATGTATATCCTCCTTTAAATATAGGTACTATTTTTGCTATTTTTAATTTGCCTGGGACAGTTCCGTTTTTGATCGAAGAGCTGAAAATATTAAAAATAGGCCTTTTAAACATAAAGTACAACATTGCCAGAGATGTCGTCAATACCTGGGGCCTTATTCTTTTTGATTGATTTGATTTCTTTTTCTAGTTCATCAAAGTTTAGATCACTATCTGACAATGAACTCTCAATGAAGTCACTAAAAAAATTTTGAAATGATTTTTCCTGAGCCTATTATTTGTGATGAGTTTAGACCAGTGTTTACAAAAATATTATTGAATATTTCGGATATATCTTTTTTGTCTTTGTACTTAATATTGTTTTCCGTTATTCTGGAGGGTAAAATGTTAGAAACTATTATATTTTTACCAATGATTTCTTTCATAACTTCCCACGTTTACTTTATGTTCCCATAATTTCTTTTTAATTGTTCAGAATAATATCTTTTTTTAAATTTATTTTCATTTTTTTCAAACAGATTAAATTCTTTATAGACATTAAGATTAGCTTTGTTCATAATTTTTGCTTTTTTTTTTTTTGAAGATTTTCTCATTCCGCATGTAATCCAATGACATTTTAAATCATTTATTTTAATTTCTATTTCTCGTATTGGGAAATGTTTGTTATAATATGCAAGAAAGATGTCGAGAAATAGATTATAAGCGGAACTCCGATCTTACTCAATCCTTGTATCCAATTTCTTGTATCAAATCTATCCATAACTTTCTATATCTTTTTTCCATTATTGTATAAACTTTTACCAAAATGAGTTGGGATTAAACAAATGGCGTGAGAATACATAAAGGGCATACTTACACTGTGTAAGTATGCCCTGTGTGTAAGTTACACACATGCATTTCAGAAATTTATTTAAAAAGTTTTTGAGCAATTGTAAGCAGCTAATACAAATTGATGTTTTCTCATCTACAAAAGTGTTATAAAAGATAATACTTGTGGAATTCCTTATGTATCTCTCCTGAGGGTTAAGTATCTATCGTGTGGGTTATGTATCTCTCCTGAGGGTTAAGTATCTATCGTGAGGGTTATGTATCTCTCCTGAGGGTTAAGTATCTATCGTGGGATTTTTTTTTATTCCTCTTTTACATTAATGATCTTTACAAAACCTTTTTTATTTAATGACAGTAGTATTTGCTGATGAGAGAAATCTTTTTCTGTCTAATAACACCACAACACTTCATGGCGCGAACATTAAACTGGTCAAAATTTCTTGCTGGTTTATATTTTAAAAGTTAGTCACTAATATTTAAATAAAGGAAAAAAAAAATTCTTATTTTAAGTCAAAATAAAGGTTAATACCTAGTGCTTTGCTCAATTATTTGTTAACAATAAGAGAAAATTAATAAGAAAAACAAGAACAATCTATTCACTGTTTTGTATTTTTATTGATAAAAGCTTTACAATCTAAAGCCTTCATCCATGAAAAGCCAACGTAAATTATCCATCCATGTAAAGTTTATATAAAAAAAATCATTTTGTAAAAAATGTAGTTACATTTTTTACAAAATGATTTTTTCAATTATATTATTCATTCATCTTTTGCTAGATTAACTAGGCAAACATTAGGCTAGTAGCACTAATAAAAGCAAATTAGACATTCGTTATCTGCAACAGAAGCATTTCGCACGTATTTTAAAGATTGTTAGATTCACAAAAAACCTTTTTTAAGAGAAAAGAATGTTAATAACATCTACATAATGTTTTTAATTTTCTTTGTTATATTTTTAAATGCAAGACGTAACCGCGATATTTTTTTTTTCATAATTTATAATGTGACTAAGCAAAAAAACAAAGTCGGTTTAAGGAAGATTATCTTATCCAGCAAAACTTATTTTGGCAGATCTTTTATACAATATTGTGGCGCTTTTTATACAATGTTGGGGCGCTTTTTATACAATGTTCCGGCGCTTTTCTTCAAAATTAAATATTTTTTAAAAATTATCCAATTATCATAATTGAGTTTTTTATTTAACTTAAATAGATGTTTGTATACTTTTTTGAGCTCGGATTTTTTGTTTTGTTCTGATAGTAACACCAACAAAATACTGTAATTTAATGAGTTTTTTCTCAAAATTTTTAGTACTTTAGTTAAGATTTCAAATAAATATTTTTAAAGGTTCTTGACGACAGAACCACTAGCTCCTCTATACCCGTATTCTTATGTTATTCACGTACAACAAATTTAATACTTAACTATATTATAACTAAAATAATAACAAGAACAATGATAATAAAAACGACAACAACAATGATAATAATAAAAATAATAATATAATTCGATACTTTTCAATATATTTTCTACTGGTTTTTATTTTAAATAAAACAAGTTTTTGTTTTGATTAATCAAATCTTACTTTTATACATTTTCAATTATGAAGATTTAATAATAATAATGATAAAATTAAGCGCTGATTATCTTATATAATATGTTTATTATATCATAAATGTTTATTATGTGCAGCTTTTGTCAAAAAAAAGCTAACATTATAAAAAACTCGTTTAAAATAGTGTTGAAAAATTTCTGTCAGTATATTTCTCAACAGTTTCCATAACCATCGCTTTAGTATTTTGATTGTCAAGTAAGCCATTAACATTCTGATGACGAAATAATTTATAACACTCATAAAAACGCAAACCCCAACTTATTAAGAGCATTTTAGAAATGGCGGCCTGGTTCCTATTAATGCATAAAGTTAACTTATGATCTTATCGGAAAAAAAAGAGAAACTTTTTTGTTACTGTTTAATCTGAAAATGTAAACTTTATTAACACTCTATTGGCTGAATCTTTGTTTGCAAAAAGAAGACTCGATTTTACAGCGTTTTTAAAGCTGAACAGTTTTTTTATATTTAAAAGCATTATGTAACTATGAGTTAACTTGCACTTATAAGATTGTCTTTAAATTGTTTTATTTGTTGTGATTTTCACAATTATTAGGATTTAAAGTTAATTTTAAATAAAAACCAGGTGGGTCATAAAGATTATTATCGGATAATAACTTTGCCTGTCTAGATATAGCTCATTTATTGCTCCGCGCTTTAAAATTCCAGCGAGACGAAGTTATGGCCTTCAACGAATCGCTAAGCATATGGTCTAATAACAAAGAAGAAGAAAACAATTTTTTGGTAGGTTATTTTCGCTGTGTAACTTTAACGCTTTAATATGTAAACCGAACGAAGTATTTTATTTTTAAAACTATTTTTTTTTTTTAAAAAAAAAAGTTTATCTTTTTATATTTTAACCGATACTAAAATTTATTCGTTTAACCATAATGGTTTGTTGACAAACAAGTTGAACTCGACGGTTTTTCGAAATTAATATTATTATAGCAAGGAAGAAAAGTAATTTCGTAAAATTTAATTTGTTTTTATTTGTTTTGTGTTATAGATAAACGCAAACGCTGCACGACGTTAACAAATTAACTAACAAAAACTGCGGCAATAAATTGTTTAAATAAAAAATACAAATAAAAATTTTTATAAGTATAAAGTTTTTTTAAATCAACGCATTAAAGTGGTTAACATAACTTTTATTAACAAAAATAAATAGGTGTACTTTTAGCGAAAAATGTTAACTAGTTTTTATTTCTGATACTGTCAATGTTTTGTATTTAAAACAGTTAAAAAAGTTTTTTTTAAACTGTTATTAAAAAAATAATAATAAAAAATTTAGAATGTTAGTTAGTTAAAAATCAAAAAATAAAAATAAAAAACTATCCTGATAAATGTCTGTTTTAAAATAGATAATTATTCCTTTTTGTTTTAGAAAAGTATCGTTTTTAAAAATTCTGGACTTCATACACAAAATTTAAAATAGGCATGAGTTAAACATCCACTTTTGTAATCATCTTTCGCGGGGGAAAAAAAATTTAAATAAATATTAAAAACTTAAATGTACTTTAGTTTTTTAACGGCAAAATTAGTTTCTTTGAACTCAGTGTGTAAAAGGACTTTTAACAAATAAACACATCTGTTTTGCAAACCAAACAAACTACGAAACTTATTGTTTAAAAATTATTTTTGTTCAAATATCAACTTTATAAAGCACTGATAATTTCAAAGTTAGATATTAAAATAAATAATAGTTGTAAAACTATACTTTATAACTATTAAACTCTAAAAGCACATTTATTTATATAGTCTGTTAATATTAAATAATTTGAAAAATTATATGCCAAACCTGAGGTCGAATCAATGTTATCTTTTAATAAAACCTGACCTAAAAGTTAAAAAGAGTTTTTTTTTTTTTTTTTTTAAATTATAGAAATATATATTTACTATCGGCATCAAGGTAAATTTCAATAATTTGGCATCAAAGTAAATTGGCATCAAGGTAAAACTGGCTATAATTTTTTTAAATTTTGGCTAAATTAAACTTAAACCAAAACCGAAATGCCTTGGACTACTTTTAGTCTTATCTCAAAAATTACCTGTCATTTGTCAAAATAAATTATTTATTATCCTATAATATTGACTTCAGTTATTTTGAGATTTTTTTTCTTTTTATATTACTTAGATTATTTCTTCTAATTTCGTTAATTATTCAGCGGATAGGGTATAGTGACAGGTTGTAGCGGTTGTAGGTTGTAGGGTATAGCGGATTTGTAAAGTTTGTTTTAATAGTAACATTTATTTAGAACAATCTCCAAACTCAAAATAAAAACCATGCGCGCAGAATACAAGATCTTCGTGGATTATTTGACGATGCTCGCATTAGAATCGATCGATTGCTATCTACGCAGTCTACGAAACGTTTTAAAGATGATAATGAACCAATAAGCTTTTCACGTCGACCAGATCAGCCGCTACCGGGATCTGGAAGTAGATCCCTAAAAAAGACCTATAGTGACGATACCAAAAGTGTAAAGAGTGACCACTTGATCAATATGTCACCTAGAAAAACATCGCATACATCTGCGGTAGTGCTTAATCAGGTTAAATCTCCTCCAGGTGGATTCACATTTGACGTCGTTAGTTTAACCGTAAAGTTAGACGAAGAATAGGCTTTTATTTATCATCTAAATATTTATAAATTTATTTAAATATTTTTCGAATTATTTAAATATATTTTTGATCATTTTATTGTGCGCTTATATATTTGATTTACCATATAAGGACATTTCATTTAATCATTTACCAAAGCTTTTTAACATTTTTCTATACATATTTTGTTTTATATGTTGTACTTTAATTACTTTTTTATTACATACATATATTTTTATATATTGATGTCGTAGCTTAGTTATATTTTTATATTACATACATATACTTTTATATATTGATGTCGTACTTTAGTTATTTTTTTATTACAAAAACATATATTGTTTTATTATTACACTTTCAGCGATTGTGCAAAACATAACTTAAATATACTCAAACTTATGACAAAAGAAAATGTTATGCAAAAAAAAAAAGCAGAGATTGGAGCCTAGGAATAAAAACATCCAAAAAAGATTGCTCCCTCTACTCCAAATGTAAGAGCAATCAGTTTATAAACATATTTTTTTGCAACCATAACTTTGGAACGTTAAAAAATTATTAAATGAAACTTAAAAGCTGTCGATAAGTTTAAAGTTATAATAATAAGTCGAAAAAATATTTCATTAACTCATTGGTCTCACATTCCGTATAAGAAAAAAAGCGAAGTTTTTAGGTTATTTTGTTGTCCTCAGGCTCCAGTCACGGAGTCTTTTGAAACGTTCTCATTTAAAATAAGGATGGACACGGAGGGCTGAACAAGTGTGAATTTCATCAGTGTGAACTGGCAGAAATGCAAAGCAGTAAAAAAGACTGGCATAAGTGCGAACTTACGTAAGTGCAAATTGGCGTAAGGGCACCAAAAAAATTTGAAAACATCTGTATAGGTGCGAAGCAGAGAACTGGTATAAATGCGCCGATAGAGTTTGGAAGCATTGGCATAAGTGCGAATTTTATATTTTAGAATTATGCGAATTCTCATAAATGCAAAGCAGTTACATAAGCATTAAAAGAATTTGCAAAAACTGGTGCGCAAAATTTTGCAAATTGTTTTGGAACACTTATGCCAATTTAAACTTATGCTTGTTTACACTTATGCTAATTTTTTAAACCGCTTCGGACTTATGACAGTTTGCACTTATGCCGGATTGCATTTATGCCAATGTTTGCTGATTAATTTGGCAAATTTATGCCACTTCGCATCTATGCCAGTTTTTGCAACTGCTCGGCATTTATGGCAAATTCGGTGCTTTTAAAATCTTTATCTCACTTATGCAACGGCTTGCACTTTTGACAGTTTCCACTTATCAATGTTAGCAATTCTTTCAGCGCACTTATGCTAGTTTGCACTTATGCATGGGGGAGAGTGGTTTAATTGCGAATACCTAAGCGGAAATACAAATTAAAGACACCAATTTAAAAAAAATCGATCATATTTATTGCTTATCATTTAGTCTAACTATTTAGTCACAAACTTCCAAAAGCAATTTTTATATATCTTATTATAAAATAAAATTTTTGGACAAAAATAAAACCATTGGTGTTTGGAATTACCCTATGTACGTTGGGTAATTCCGAACACACCTTTGGGTAATCACAAACACTGTTATATAATAATGAATAAAATGCTAATTGTAATAACTAAGTGCAGAAATCACAGATAAAACCTCAAGACATGCTCACCTACACCAGGTCTTACAATTGTAACACATAATCTAGTCTTGGGTAGTTCATGAAACTTTTTATTGCAACTTAATACAACAACACTCTTTTAAAATTAATATTTAATTTTTTTAATTATCAAAATTTTAAAAAATTAATACAAACAAAACCCCAGGACGAGCTTTCACCAATTGTGCACTTTTGTGCAACCAGGACTGGCATTTATGATGCATGATTCAATGGTCTGTGGTTGGATCCTTATACCTTTCTTCGCAACTTAAACAAAAAAGTTATGTATCACCTATGGCAATTTTTTTTTTTACGTGATGGTATATGATCAGCCCCTAAATGATTAAAGTTCTTCTTTCTTCTTTTAATTTTACCAGTAGTATGTATTACTTCTTCCTTTTTACTTTTCTTTTGCTCTAAAATATTTTTCATTGGCAAACTAATGATAATAAAGGAATGTTTTTTTCCTAAACATTATCTAGTTTTCATTCAAGTAAATGAAATTACGTATCTAACAATTTATCTGTTAAAATTAAATGTGACAAAAGTAAGAAACATAAAGTTCTGGCCGCCTGACGTCCGTGTGTTATCAATGATACTTAAGGCGTTTGAAATTACTTCACTAAGATCGTTCGTTATTTCCCCGCTGACACAAACAAATAAAATACGATTAATCTATTGAGGTTGTATTGACATACACAAATTATAATACGTGTTAAAAACTCCTTGATTATGGCACTATGCAACAACAACAACAAAAAGATTGGTTTTGTATCCATAGTAGCTACAACAGGAATGCTTCTCAAGCAAAAAGTTACATGAAACTATCAGAAATTTAGGATCAATCTATTGGGAACAAAAGAAATGAAAATAGAAATTAAAAAAAATAAGTTTAAAACTATATGAAAAATTGACAATCTATTTTGCAGTATAGATCAGCAAAACAAACAGAAAAATTTAATACTGCTTATATGGAACCTTGCAAATAAAAAAAGCAACTAATGGTTAATTGCCTGATTTATTTAATTGTCAATATCTATCAAAAAACATCAATTCACTGAATTTATGCTTAAGTTAAACATAAGTATCTTTTTTTTTTTTTGCCTTTTTTGCTGTAGTTTTTATATTCTGAATTTTAAAGTTTTGACTATTGATAATTATTTTGATTGTTTTTTTCTATAGCAAATGTAAAATAAGATGAAATTATTATAAAACATTGCATACAAATCCGTAAAAATATGTAAAACAAACCCCTGTATATATATATATATATCGTAATATTAAATTTAAAAAATTAAATTAGGAGAATCTATAAGTTTTAAAAACCCTTATATCGAGCAATATCCGTTAGATATAAAAAGAGAATACGTTGAGTATAAAAGTATTAAAAAAATAATGTTAAATTTTAAACAATTAGAAAAATGATTAATATATGTGCGTCTGAAAATCTTCATTTTACAGCAAAATATTATTTACTTAACTAGCAAAGTAAATTAAATTAATTTTATAATTGGGGATTTCAAATTATTTAATGAATTTGAAATGTTTAATTTATGGCACTCAGCAAAAGTCATTATTTACCAACATAATTTTACAGGTAAATCAATTTTACAGATTTTTTTCAAATAAGTTTAAAAAAAGAAGTTTTACAACCAAGGTTTCTTTTAAATATTTTATTTTTTCTACAAACTTTTCAAAAATTTATTTTAACTTTCTTTTTTTAGATATTTTTATTGTTCTAGACTGTCTGTTTAGTTTTTTATTTTAAGTTTTTTTATTTTAATATGCTTTTACTGAAAATTCAAAGGTCAGTTTTAAAAGTTGTCCATTAGCGACAAAAGATAAACTTTTACTTGTATTAACAGAAAATATTAATACTTTTTTCCAATGGTATATTATATAAACTATATGGGATTTTATCGGAAGCCACTTTTTTTGTTTATAAATACAGTCCGCCGTTTGCAAATTGTCTATTCAAAACTTTTTAATCCCTTTATAATCAGAAATGAATTTAGGAAACAGAAATTGTTATTTTACAAGTATTCTAATTTCCTCTTGACACTATTATATAAATAGTATTTATATTTAAAATATATTTACTTCATTTAAGAAAAGAAAAGTTGAATAATATTTGTTTAAAAATTTAATCATCTATTTGTAAAAAGTAAAAGCAGCTTTACTTTTCTGATCGTTAGACATCTAGTTTATATCACTGCTTTTTCCAAATAATAAAAAAAAACTCTCCCACCAGCGCAGATGAAAATTTGGTCCTAGCAGTCTGAAAATACAAAAAATTCAAATTTTTGCATTTATAGTGAGGGCTGGTCTTTACAAATATTTCAATAAAACTTCAAATGTTGTTTTTGTTGATCTATATGACTTTAGATTATGTTTTTTATTTTAGTAAAGATAATGGTAATGGTTAGTCCTACGCATTTAAAGTCATAATGTATATTTTTTGGAAAGTTAGGGAGAAGAGGGGGGCGAGGGCAGGAGTCAAAAAAAATTTGTGAACATTTTTTTTGTATGTAATAAAAATAATGTCAACAATGCGGTAGTGGTGTAGTGGTAGAGCGCTCGCTTCATAAACGAGTGGTTCCGAGTTCGATCCCCACCACGTCCCTGGTAGTACCGCGCTCAACTCGTTTCTCCGCGCAGCGGCCTTGCTCGTCAAGGTTCGTGTTTCGGAGTTATAGAGTTGAGAGAGGGTTATAACCACAAATAAGTAGCCTCCTCGTCTGTAGTGGCCTTCTCGGCCTTGAAGAGGTGAATTAAAATTAAAAAAAAAAACTGTTGCAAAAAATATATTTCATTGTGAAGTTTTTCATATTGGAAAAAATCTTTATATAACCCATCATAACACACTTGCTTATTAAGAAAAACTATATTACATATGTTATGCTATGTGTTAATTTTCCAAACATTTCTACAATTACTTGTGGTAGAAATATTTACCATGCGTCCTTTATCAAGTAAATAAAATACTGCCTAACATAACAGATGTTTATTATATTATAGTAAAATGTTTATAAATTTACAATTCAATGCAAATTTAAATTGACTTAATGATATAGTAGTAAATATTTTTATGATAAAAATATCAATATATAAATGTTTTTAGTCATGATATCTTTAATGAATTCTTTTACTTTTTTAACTTGCCATTTAAAGGCAAACTGTTGACTTGAAAAGGAATAGAAAGAATTTAAACAAACAAAAAGCTATTTAGGCGAAAATGTGTTTTTTTAAAAAGGAAGATGTATTTGATAAAATCTAAAAAAACTGTGAAGGTATCATCTCAAAGGATATAACAATAAGAAGACTAGAAAATGTAAATTTTCTCAATGATCTCAAAAAATGTCGCCCAAAAAAAAATTTTGTTAAATAAATAGTGAAGTAAGAAAAAATTTAAAGGTTATAAGAGTTCATTAGAA